CTTGATTATCTTTTCCAGAATCTTTCCTGGTATTGAGGTCAGGCTGATAGGTCTGTAGTTTCCTTGATCTATTTTTTTTCCCCTTTTTTGAAGATGGGAACCACATCAGCTCTTTTCCAGTCCTCTGGCTACAGATTCCTTTCCTTTGTTGCTGGGCTCTCAATGTTGAGAAAAATCTCTCCCTTCCCAAATATTTTAGCCTCACCCTAAAGTGTTTTTTACCGGAGAAACTTCCCACCTACGCCGCTTGGAAAAAAAAAAAAAAAGAGCAGACGTACACACGGTTCCATTTGGTGACTTTTTTTTAATTATTCATTTAATAAGCAAAAGAAAAAAAATAAAGGGAAATCGAAAGAGATAAAAAGAAAAACCCAAAATACACCTTTGAAAATCTGGAAAGGAGGGAAAGGGGGGAAGGAGAGGGGAGGGGTCTCCGAAGGACTCCGAGGAACGGGTGCATCCAGAAAACGGGGACATCAAGAACGGGAGACAAAGATTTGAGAAAAATGAAAGGGGGGGGAAAACACCCAAGATCCCCCACGGGTTACGCTGCCTCTTTATACAAATTGGGGAGGGGGAGAAGAGATATACACCGCGTGGGCCTCCCACCCACTCACCCACCCACCCAGTGCCTATTCACTTTTTTTTTTTTACAACGCGCGCGTGAGCAAAGATCCGTCATGACCTCGAGGAACGCCCAAGGCCATCCGAGTAAAGGCTCACAGCCCCACCCGAGAGCAGAGGGGTGGGAGAAAGAGAGAGAGAGAGAAAGAGAGAGAGAGAGAGAGGAAAGGGCCAAGGGTCTTCCTGGCCTCCCCGCGAAATCCCCCGAAAGGAAAAGATGTTGCAATTCCACCTCTTTTGGGGGGGGGGGGAGGTCTCTCCAGTCTCTGTGAATGGACCTCTCCTCCAATTGTGATTTGAGGAGGGGCAGGGGGGAGGGGAGAAAGAAGGGGGGGTCAACATACAAGCTCTTCCCCCTTTGCCCAGGGAGGGACATTCGGAATAAAATCAGAGTTCATGTTAAGAAGGGTTGTTTCCTCCCCACCCCATCCCGCGTGTCCCCAAAGAGGGAGAGTTCCTTCAAAGTTCATCCACACACCCCCAGGCTTGGATCCAATTTGGGGGGGGGGGAGAGGGGGTGCCAGGTGAAGCGGTAATGGTGTAGAGATGATCATTTTCCCCCTCCGAGCTCCGTGGGAGAGGGAGGGTGGGAAGGGGGAGTGGACTGGGTGGCCTTACCTGGAAAAGAAGGGGAAAAATAAGGTTAGCAACTTTCCTCTCCACTCTGCCTTCCTTCCTTCCCTCCCTCAAGGTCCTTCTCCATGTCCTCCTCTATGCCTTGGTCTCGCCACTCACCATTCCATGGGGAAAATAGAGCAGAGGGTAGGAGACCAAAGGAAAACGATGATGAAAGGGAGAGTGAAGTTATGGGATGGGGGCAGTTAGGGGTTGAGGAATGAATGTGGGTGCCCGAGAGGGGTGGGATTCTACCAGTTCGCCCTGGCTTGGGCGAACCGGTAGCTCTGACCTTCAGGTGGGCCCGCCAGCCTAAGCTACACCTACCTGCATTTCCTTGTTTTTTAGCCCAGCTGATAGGCGCGGCTGAGTGGACCGCCGGATCTCAGCTATTACCCTGGGAACTGTGCATGCGCACACGTGCTCCGAAAACCGGTTGTTAAACCGGTAGGATCCCACCCCTGGCGCCAGAGAATCTGCAAGGCCAAGTTGCTAAAACCACTCCTGCCAACCCTGATGAGGCAACTCACTGGGATATAAAATGAGACTAAAGCTCACTCCCTCTCTGATGTTACCTAGCTATCTCATGAAACGCCTGCAAGCTCAGAGGGCTGCAAGGACCCCCACAAGGCTACCACCCGTATCCTATCTCCTTCCTTCCTGCTGCTACTGATAACGTTATCTAGTTGGGTCATGAAATGTCTCCAAGAAAGCAATCAGGCTTAGAAAGCACCAAGGACCTCACAGTCCTATCCCTCCTCCTCCTCCTCCTCTATTTCCACTGCACAAACCCAACTCCTTTCTAAACTGATGGTGTTACCTAGGTGGGTCATGAAATGACTGCAAGAAAGCAACCAAGTTCAGAACCCCATAAAGTTGGGGGTTTCAAACTTGCATCGTCACGGAGGTATCACGTGACATCTCGGGACTTTTCCTCCCTTCGCTAAACTGGGCGTGACCAACGTGAGATGCATGTGGCCCGTGAGCCGCGAGTTTGACACCCCTGCCATAGACCATCGCCACCAAATCCTCCTCTTCCTATTCCTATTCCTCTCCTTCCTGCTATTGCTATTCCTGCTCCTCCCCATTGGAAACCCCACTCCCTACCACCACTGAGGTTGTCAATTAGTTGGGTCGTGAAACGTCTACCACAAAGACCAGGGAGCACCAAGGATCCCAGAGTCCTCCTACTCCTCCCTCCTCGTCCTCCATTCTGCAACCCTCCACCCACCCACCCCTTTCTAGCAATGATGATGTTACCTAGTTGGGTCATGAAACATCAGCAAGAAAACAAGCAAGCTCAGAGAGCACCCAGGACTTAGTTAGGTTTCTAAAGGTCTGCAAGTGAAATTTGGAACATAAAGAAACATCAAAAAGTTCCTTTCCTGCCAACCCCTCCCCCCCCCCCCCCCCCCCCCCCCCCCGCCTTTGCTGTTTAGTGACTTACATTGTTTGGGGACTGAAGAGGCCTGAAAGCTGGAAGCACTGGGAGGCCAGTGTCTGTGAAGCCAGATTCAATGCTGGGCTAAGAGCTACAGGGGTAAGAGGAAGGGGGAAAAAGTGTTAGGAACCCGGGAACAATTTCCCATGGGGAAAAACAAGATGCTAAATTGGGGTGATTTTGGGTGTAATGTAAGAAGCAAATTGCCAACTTTAAGATGGGTGGACTTCAACTCCCAGAATCCCCCAGCCAGCAAATTGCCAACTTTAAGATGGGTGGACTTCAACTCTCAGAATCCCCCAGCCAGCAAATTGCCAACTTTAAGATGCATGGACTTCAACTCCCAGAATCCCCCCAACAGCATTGTTGTCCACTCATCTTAAAGTCGCAGAGATTGTATTTGCTGGCTGGGGAATTCTGGGAGTTGAAGTCCACCCATCTTAAAAGTTGCTGGGTTTGAGAAACGTTGAGCCAGGATTCTAACGATGCATTCCCCCATTCTCAGGACCACTCCCAATGGCTCCTTTCCGTCCAGCCCGCATCCCCCCCCCCTGCCCCGTCTTACCTGTCAGGGCAGCTGGATTCAGTGCTCCCAAAGGTATCGCTCCGTTAAGCTGCAGGGCAGCCTGGGCTGCCGCCGTGGTGGTCAGTGGGATCCCAGAACCTGCTGTGTTGGGACCAAACACAAGATATTTGGGATTTGGGGATGGAAAGAACAAGGATGACGCAAATCGAGGCTCTGGAGGACAGAGTATTCCAGCTGTGACTTATGGGCATCGCCCCCCCCCCCTGATATTGCTAATAACAGACAGGGAGGTCTGTTATGTTAGGTCTTTAATTGACAATGGTTCAAGTCTCCCATCTCCAGAAGTGAAGAAATAGATGAAATACGCCTCCAAAGATGGAAAGGCAGCCGCTCCGCGACTTATGACCAATGGTTTGGCAACTGTTCGAAGTCGCGGCGGTGCTGAAATGAAGGGATTTATGATCGGTCTTCGCACTTGCAACTGTTGTGAGGGGGAGGAGGGGTCTAGGGTGTTCGCTCCTTTTCTGGGAAGTCTCATTACCCTAAGTAGGTAATATCGTCCCGGCTGCTTGCTAGCACTGATGATGTTACCTAGCTGGGCAATGAAACGTCGGCAAGGAAACAAGCAAGCTGAGAGAGCACCAAGGATTCCCACAGTCCTTCTCCTCCCCTTTCCCCTTCTCCACGTACCCCTCTCCTTTCTAGCACTGATGATGTTCCCTAGTTGGGTCAAGAAATGTCCGCAAGAAAACAAGCACGCTCAGAGAGCACCAAGGACGCCAAAGCCCTTCTCCTCCTCCTGTCCGTTCCACAAACCCCACCTCACTTTCTAGCACTGGTGATGTTACCTAGTTGGGTCATGAAATGTCTGCAAGAAAACAAGCAAGCTCAGAGAGCGCCAAGGACCCTACAGTCTTCCTCCATCTCTCTTCCTCCTCCTCCTCCTCCATCCCTTCCTCTCCTCTTCCTCCTCTTTCTCCCAAGCCCCACTCCCTTCTAGCACTGAGGATGCTACTTAGTTGTCAAATGGAACGAACCTATATGAAGGAAATACTTCCGTGGAAGAAACCCAGAAGCTGTCAGACAAACGGAGTTTCAAAAGGAATCCAAGCTGAATAATAACGACGATTAATTTGTCTAACAACCTAGAGAGAAAGGTTTTTGCGTCTCTGTAGGCCGGACTGAGTTAAAAAACCTGAACTAGTTCAGTCAGAGGAGGCGTGGCCATCAATTTACATAACTCAGTCTCTAGGCTAATGGACAAAGTTAACCCGTGTTTAGATTCCCCAAGCAGCGCACAGGAGAACCAAGGACCGCTAGTCCTTCTCCTTCTCCACACACTTCTCTCCCTCCTAGCACTGAGGTTGTTACCTAGTTGAGTCACGAAACGCCTGCAAGGAAACAAGCCTGCTCAGAGCGCACCAAGGGCCCGTCATGTCAACCCTGAGTTACAGATATTCTCTTTTATTGGAACTGCCGTAGGGTCCAATTGTACGATTGTGACTTGACGACTCGTGTTCTGAGCCCTGAAATGGCTCCAACACACCAAGAATCAGAGTCTCAGTCTCTCTCTCTCTCACACATGCACACGCACTCATAACGAAAGTCCTGGAAGATTCCCTCGCTCTTTTGCTCAGCAGCGGAGATACACACACACATGCCCCGAAGGTGCACCTGACTCTCAAGGCCGCAGATTTCCCAAGTAAGGATTCCAATATCGTTCCCAACAGGATTTACAAGTCTGGACTATCAGTGGCTGACAGACAGGGAGGCAAATAGTTTATCTGGCACACTTATTCGTCTCCGCTCCGCCAGCCTTTTATCCCCCGAGCTAGGTGGCTTTTCCATCCTGAGGACCGGCTCATAGATTTCCACTGCTCTCCTCTCCTCTGCTTTCTGCACATCCACGCGTCAGGCACTGGACCAGCTCTTCTTCCTCTTCCTCATCAGCCACCAGGCCTGGGGGCTGTTGACTCCCCACCGGGGGGCTGATGGGACGGCCCATGTTCTGCCTCTCTCTTTGACAACTCCATTCCCTCTTCCCCCTCGGAACTCTCCCACTCTGCCTCATCCGATTCGGCGGCCGGAGGCACCGGCGGCTGACAAGGCCCAACAGCTTGGCCAACCAGCATGCATTGCGGTGATGGATAACCTGTGTCCTCGCATGCCAAAACTGTGTGCAGGTGCGAGATAGTGCGGGCACATACCCACACCCACATGCCCCCCCAGCACATGACCCTCTGTGAATGCGCTCGACCTCTGCGACTCCCTGCATATGTGCGCGACCCCACATGCACCCCGCTTTGGGCCTAGCACGCTTCCTTGAAGCCTCCTGAACCAAAAAACAGGGCGCTGCTCCCCACCAGCTCCCCCTGCACATGCACCTCCCCGCCCCTGCGCATAACTCCCCCCCACATGTACACAAGACTCCCCCGCCCTCCGCACATGCGTGTTTCCCGCATGTGTAGCAGACACCCAAATATCGGCTGGCCAGAGGGAGGCGCACGCGCAGGGACGGTGCAGCTAAGCTGGGCAATGTGCCACCCGTGGCAGGCATGCCATAGCTTCGCCATTACGGATGTGTTGCCACGGCTGCAGTGTCCTGGGGGGTCACGCGATCACTATTTACAACCTTTCCTGCTGGTTCCTGACCAGCAACGGGCAAAGCTGAATTCCGTTAATGACCCCGACAAAAAGAGATTATAAAATCAGGCAGAATCACGAGACAAACTCTCTTAACAATTGCGTTGCTTAGCAATGAAAGTTCCCAGGGTGAACTGAGGTTGTAAGTCAAGGACTAGCTATAGATAGATAGCTCACTAAGCTCTTTTTCCCCCCCTCTTTATGTTTCCAGGTAACGCGCATTTGCCTCCTCTACCAAACCGAGCAGGAATCGTGACTGTCTGACAATTTCCCCCGGAGCCAGGGCCATATTATTCATAGAGAATGCAATGTATGGGATTTATCTGATTCAAAAAATAAAACTCCTACACAACCTAACCGAGCAAGATTAGGCCAGCAGATTCAGACAGTGAGGAGGATGGGGAGGAAGATGGCCAGTCCTGGAGTCTGGGGAAGGCTCAGATGAGGGCTCTGCATCGGAGGCAGAGAGGGGGCCAGGGCCGTCTGACGGTTATCAGCTGCCTTTGGAGTCGGACATCAGCGAGGCAGAAGAACAGCTGGAGCCTGTCCCAGTGTAGCAATAGCAGTTAGACTTATATACCGCTTCATAGGGCTTTCAGCCCTCTCTAAGCGGTTTACAGTGTCAGCATATTGCCCCCAACAACAATCCGGGTCCTCATTTTACCCACCTTGGAAGGATGGAAGGCTGAGTCAACCCTGAGCCGGTGAGATTTGAACAGCCGAACTGCAGAACTGCAGTCAGCTGAAGTAGCCTGCAATGCTGCATTTAACCACTGCGCCACCTCAGCTCACTAGTGTGCGCTTGCGCAGAGCTTCCAGGAGAAAAGAATAGCTAAGAAATTAGGGTCGACTTGGGAGTAAAGCCACAGGTGGACGGTGAATGGCCCCTCCCAGAGGGAATAAAAGAGGAGCGACGGGGAGTGGAGTTTGCAGGAAACCATTCGTTCAATTCCTGCATCCTTGCCAAGTGTTGCGGCGTCTGAAAGATATCGGCCTGGCCGCTCTCCAAGCCTGACCAAGGTCGGTAACAGTGAACTATCTTGAAAGACTGTGGGAGAGGAAAGACTTTGCTGGAGAGGAATTCACTGTCAATTAAATAAAAGGGGTTTATCGGGGCGAGGACTCGGCTTCATGCTGCTGGGGAAGCCTAGAGAAGCCGCTGGGGAAGCCTAGGGAAGTCAGAACATAGACCGAGGAAATCTTTTAGCATTTCCCACTCATTTCTTTTCCTCCCATCTTGCCAACCTTATAGGATCGCTCGATCTTAAAGATCAATCTTTCTTAAAGACGGGAGAACAATGGGCTTGGCTTAAGAGAGGAAGTGCCGCTGGAGATGGGAGAAGACCAAAGGAAACATCATTAGCCAGCTCTAACTGATGTGAACTAATGTTCACTTTGCATCTTGATGGGACACAGGGGGTCTTCAACCGTACAACCACAATGGAGCCCAACTTTTCTGCTGCTAAGCGAGGCAGCTGTTAAGCGAGCTTGGTCCCATTTTACAACCTTTCTGGACACATTTGCTATGCAAATAGTTGCCGTTGTTAAGTCATTCACCCGGCTGTTAAGCAAAGCTGGCTTCCACGTGGGCTCGGCTTGTCGGAAGGTCGCAAAAGATGGTCATATGACACACACACACACACACGGGACCCTGCAGCCGTCATACATATGAACCAGTTGTCGAGCATCCGGAATGTAAATCATGGGACCGCAACGGTCGTAAGTGTGAAAAGCAATCGTAAGTCCCTTCATTCAGTGCAGTTGTAAGTTGGAATGGTCTGGTTCTCTACAACGGAAGCATTGATACATCCAAATGTTGTTAACTTGGGAAAAATTGTATCCCATAAAGATACTTTAAACAAGAATTGGGGAACCTAAAAGCGGATAGGGACTACAAAATCAAGGGGTAGATTTAGCTTGGTGGCACACAAATACAACCGAGATAAGAGAAAGATGCGAAAACATGGAGTTTATACAAAGAACCAACAACACTTGACGTTATTAGGGACAGATGAAAAACTGATAAGAATATTACTGTCTTTTTCGGAGTATAAGACATACTCCCCCCCACACACACACAAATGAGGATGAAAATTTGGGCGTGTCTTATAAACCGTTTGGAGTGGCCTCCTGACCATCAGCTGCTTCAGGCTGCAGGGATTGCCATTGCAGCCTCCGCTTGCCCCATTTTCGGCCTCAGCATCCCATTTTTCGGTTCTGCGCACCCTGTTTTGGGCCTCCGCGCACTCCCATTTCCCACCCATTCCGATCCCCGCCGCCAGGAACAGGCAGAAAAATGAGACGTCCGGAGGCAGCAATAGGCTACGGCAATCCCTGCAGCCTGAAATTGGTCTGACAATCCGCGGCTTGTGCTAATTAGGCTGTGCTGAAACTGAAAGGGGCTGTTTGCTGTAAGGAGGCAAATTGCTGAGTGGCAGAGACAGATTTCCCCTCCCCCCTTGTTTTCCTCCCCAAAAACCAGATGCATCTTATACGCCGAAAAATATGGTATACAATTTGCTGTTTGCCTGCAATCAGACTGAACTGGGCTGCTTGCTGTTTGCTGCAAGGAAGCAAATTGCTGAGTGGCAGAGGCAGATTTCCCCCCCCCCCGTTTTCCTCCCCAAAAGCTAGATGCATCTTATACTTCAGAGCGTCTTATATGCCGAAAAATATGGTATACAATTACCTATTAAGTTTTAAAATGGAAGATGAACAAGTAAAAGAAACAATGATAGTATGGGGAAAAAACTTTGGCTATACTATGGAATTAGATAAATGGGAAAAACCTTGGGATAGAAATTGTAAACTGACGTACTGCATATAAGGAAAATCTTTATAAAATGTTTTATAGGTGGCATTTGCCACCGGCAAGATTGGCAAAAATGTTTAACAAAATGTCTGCCAAATGTTGGAAATGCAATCAGATTCCAAGTACTTTATCATACATGGTTGGAAATGATGATAGAATAGAAAAACAGAGTTGGAAGGGACCTTGGAGGTCTTCTAGTCCAACTCCCTGCCTAGACAGGAAACCCTACACCACTTTAGACAAATGGTTATTCAACCTCTTCTTAAAAGCTTCCAGTGTTGGAGCATTCACAACACCTGGAGGCAAGCTGCTCCACTGATTAATTGTTCTAACTGTCAGGAAATTTCTCCTTAGTTCTAAGTTACTTCTCTCCTTGATTAGTTTCCACCCATTGCTTCTTGTTCTACCCTCAGGTGCCTTGGAGAATAGCTTGACTCCCTCTTCTTTGTGGCAACCCCTGAAATATTGGAACACTGTTATCATGTCTCCCCAAGTCCTTCTTTTCATTAAACTAGACATACCCAGTTCCTTCAACCGTTCTTCCTATGTTTTAGTCTCCAGGCCCCTAAGAAGAGTCGGGAT